ATCCTTTTGATGTACAAGGTTCAGCGTGTATTAGACCTCATCAAGAGTGGTCAATTGAAGCCAGATGCAAGTCGTGCAGAGCGCCTTAGTATGATGTTTGAAGAGAACGAGTCAAATGTTGTACCACTGAAAGGTGTTGAGCTGGCTGAGGAAAAGCCCTTGAATCTTGAGTCGGACGACGACAGCAATGATGCCGACCTCTCTGACGAGGACCATGCGTGTTTGGATCTGGGCAATCAGGAGAGAGGCGAAGTGCCACCTGATTCGATTCTTTATTCGTGGTATGTTCATCGACTGTCGAGTATCCTTCATGCCAAAGACTCTTTAGTTGGAAACAAGTTGTGTTGCGGACGTAGTATCACTCCCAATCTCAAAGAGATTGAACACGAGCAAATCAACTCACAGATTCATTTCATGTGTCACCAATGCAATTCTAACATAAAGCATGGGCTAAACGCCGTGCTTTTGGAGCAGACGGACGACGACGCATAAACAGGGTCTCGCCGGAATTGTATTCTGCGCTGAAGCCACATATCATTCCATGCAGTCTCTTGTTGTGTGGAACCTCTGTGGCTATTCGGTGTTGGAACTCCCGAGCATTTGCGGCATCTCTTCATTAAGAGTCAGCCCTGGCCCTTCGGCTCATGTACATGTTCATGTCCAAAAACGCTGACAAATGCAAGGGGCCAAGCAGACCGGGGGTCTAATGAAGGGTTTATTGTAGGAAAGAGGGAGTTTGACCCTCGGTCCAGAACCAATCACTTGATGACAAAAAAGGTACCAAAAGGACGCCCGCATCTCTAGCATCACGGTAGAAGTTCTTGTACCTTTGAATGCATTCAGTGCTAGCTTCTTTCAGCATGAGGGGTGGCCATAGGACATTTCCCACTAGTTGCTTTTCCACTTCGGGCGTGCGATGGCTCTGGATTCAAAAGCTGCTTTCCGACAGAGGGCGGTTGAAGCCGCCATTCCAGATGCAGAGATTGATGCACTAGCGGCAGGTGGTATTGAGACGTTTGCCCAATTTGCTTTTTGCACTTCGTACCAACCAGGTACAGGATCAGATGATGCACTGTTTGATCATTTGGAACATATTCTAGGTGCAAAGCCCACTGGGGCAAAGGCCTCGCACTATCGCAGATTGTTCTTTGAGTCGCATTCACTTGCTCTGAAGGATCTCCAATCGCGGCTTGAGAGGTCAGACAGCTCAGAAGTTAAGATTCTTCCACTTGCAGAGAAAGCTCAGAGGATTGACGACCTGCGTAAGCGCCTGCCAGGTGTTATGCTCAGTTCGTCGCTGGAGCCGTCGCATGCTTTAGTTGACAAAGCAGTCCACCAGTTTGAAGAGAATTGCATACAGTATATTGATTTGAAGCAGTGCACAAGCCGTGAAAGTGAGATACAGAATGAGAAGACCACGCCACAACTCACGTTTGATTCATCTGGGAACATCAAGGTGACGAAACAACATTCATTGACGGAATGCTCCATCCAAGGTGACATCAGGTTGAGAGGAGCCTTCGCACGTCGCTCATTGGCCTATGACTTGGCAGGAGTCGCAACCTTTGAGGCAGTAGAAGGCTGGTCGCAACTTCTGTTCGATCGTATGTGCTTAGAGCCACCACCTGGATACAAGCATATCAGTGTTGATCAGATCGTGCGAGCAGACAAGAAATTGTGGACAAAGGTTTCGGAACACACCCGCGCACGAGTCACAGGAACATCAGCCGATGGTACCAAGAATGTTGATGCTGCGATCAAAGAGCTGGCACATCATCCCGAGGTTCAGTTCTTAATGATGCCACTGCCTCTGCATTCAGGGACTTCGTCGTCAACCAGTTCCACAGTGAGGGCCCATCCATATCCGGCCGACAATCAGAAGGGGAAAGGAAAAAGTGGAGCTCAATCCAGCGGCAAACAGGGCAAAGGCAAGATCTCAATTCCAGACGGCTGCAGCATCAGATTCGGTGAGAATGATTCCAAGCCAGTATGCATGAAGTTCAACCTTGGTAAGTGTGGGGCCAACATCAAGCCTGGCAAACGCTGCCAGCATGGTTACCATGTATGTTGGCGCAAGGGCTGCCACCGACCATTTCCCTTTCATGAATGTGCCCACACAGGTGGGTCCTGACTAAGTGTTGCAGGCAAACAATGTTTCACAGGTCCGGCTGCGCCAGCAGATGTTGACGATGTGGCCCAAGATGTTTCACCCGTGGCTTCACCATCCATGAGGTCCACTTTGCGTGAACCAGAGCGAACCAGCGACACAATTCCACGGCAACGTGATGATAAATTTGCATCACAACGCCCAGTGTATTTCATTGAGTTTTGTGCGGGGTCGGCGGCTTTGTCAGCAGAAGTTCGAAGGGCTGGCTTCAAGGTCATCCCTATCGACCATGTTCATAATCGTCACCGCACACTTGCAACGATTGTTTCCCTCGACTTGGCAGCAGACGCCTCAAGGGATTTGGTGCTGAGTATGCTCACCGATTTGCAACCTTTTGCAGTTCATTTTGGCCTACCTTGTGGAACATGCAGTAGGGCCCGTGACAAGGCTCTCCCCAAGCACTTGCGGGATCGGTTTGGCGCACCCCCGCCTTTGCGTGATGCTGAATTCTTGATGGGTTTCCCACACTTGACAGGTGTGAATCTTCAGAAGGTGACGCAGGCTAACCGCCTGTACGCCAATGCTGTGATTTTTCTTCATGCTTGTTTTCGGCTGGGTATTAGAGTGTGCATTGAGAATCCTCAACGTTCATGGCTCTGGGGCATACTGCTGGCCTTGGTGCGGGAACAGAATGACCCCGCATTTCTACACTGTTTTGCACACCTGGTTAAAGTTGACTTTCATTCCTGTATCCATGGCTCACAGCGTGCTAAGAAGACCCGGTTCCTTGCCAGCAAGGGCCTCTATGATAGCCTGGCAGGTGAGTGTCCAGGCGACCATGAGCACCTCCCGTGGACCATTGAACAGACTGGCAGCGGCTTGAGGTTTGCAACAGCGGATGAGGCCCAGTATCCACAGCTGCTGTGTTCTCGGATGGCCCAGTGCTTAACAGCTAGCGCTACCACATTAGGTCATAACGTGGTGCAACAACCATCCACCTCGCAGCAGACCCGACATTCGCTTGGAAACCAAACGGTCAAGGCTAAACCCTTGATTTGTGAATTCGAGCGATTTGTCCACAGCGACGTCCCGCTGACCACAGAGGGACATAAGCTGTTGGCATCACCTCTTCCCGGGGGTTCCAATGCCGAGATGCCACAGAACAAGAGACTGCGTATGACATTTAAATATGGAGTGCAGTGGAAGCCGGAAGACTTTTTGGAACATGCAAAGCAAGTTTCTCACCCTCGATCGCCGCAACAGATGTTGCCGGACTACTTGAAGGAAGCTATGTTCCATGTCCTTTCAAATAGTGCAGTTGAAGCTTCCAAACATCGTCTCCAGGTGATTCTTGCAATCAGATCCAAGTGCAACGAGCTCAAAGCGGAAGAGACTGCCTGGAAAAACTCGCTTGACAATGAGTTGCGTACTGTACTTGAATGCAAGCATATTGCCTTGTGGAAGTACCTTTTGCAGACAGCGGGTTTCGAAGACATGTCAGTGGTGAATTTGGTTGCTGAAGGGATACCCCTGTTTGGCGAACACTCCATCCCGCCAACTTTTCCTCCTGATTGGAAGCCCGCGGAGTACTCCGTGGAAGATCTTCTCAAGACAGCGGAATGGCGCAGACGAATTATAATGGCATCCACAGCGGACATGACGAGTGAACAGGAAAGAGACTTGAAGGCAACCACAGATAAAGAAGTGGAACTTGGACATCTTGCAGGCCCGTTCAGCGAGCAGCAGATGACGGAGCATTTAGGGACGACGGCTTGGCTTCTCAATCCAAGGTTCATCCTGTATCAGGGCGAAGAGAGGAAAGTCCGCGCCATCGATGATTGCAGCAGATCAGGGCTGAATGGGTCGTATACTACCAATTTTCGATTGGAACTTTTTGACTCTGATACCTTAGCCTGTATGTTGGCAGTCATTGCAGATTGTGTGAAGGAGCGCAAACTTTGCCTGTCGACCCAAGATGGATGTGATCTTTGCGGGGATTTGCATGAGTCTTTGCATGGAAGAGCTTGGAAGGGGCGGACGCTTGATCTTTCACGTGCATATAAACAGTTGGCAGTGGACAGCAAGTCCCGGAGGCTGAACGTTGTTGGATTCCCATATAAAGGCGACTGGATATTCTATAGGAGTAATGTTTTGCCTTTCGGATCAACAGCATCGGTTTATTCATTTAACCGGGTGTCCCGTTCCATCCACTTCCTCCTTTGTAAATTGCTGTGGGCGCCCGCCACCTGTTTCTACGATGATTTCCCTGTAGTTTGCCCTGATGACTCCTCGTCCATCCTGTCCAAATCCATGGCGGCTTTGCTGGATATGTTGGGGTGGGACCATGCAAAGGTTGGTATCAAGGCAACCGACTTTGCTTCAGATTTCAATGCTTTGGGAATCTCGGTGCAACTTGCTCGGTTGCATCATGGCACCTTTGTGCTGGCTAAGAAACAGGGCAGAGTTCAGCGAATCGTCCGCATGCTGGAGCAGGTGGCCACCGATGGAGTTATTTCGAAATCAAAGGCAGCGGAGGTACAAGGACACTTGAACTTTGCATCAGGGTTTTACACGGCCAAGACCCTAAAATTTCTAGTGTCGGCATTCGACCGTTTGTCCGAACTCCCGGAAAGTTTGTCATCAGCCAATCTTAGAGACCTGGCCTCTGTCGCAGTTTCGATGCTTCAGTGCACCGCGCCCAGGGCATACAGCTCCACGAGTTTTCACGCGCCGGTGTTGGTCTTTACAGATGCGGCGTGGGGTGATGGAAACGCCTCTGCGGGGGCGGTCGTGCACATTCCAGAACGCTGTGACACCTTTGTTTTCGAGGTATCGATCCCGGAAGAACTGCAGTCTATGTGGTTAGAGGATGTAGGAGATCAGATTGTCACGCAGCTTGAGTTCTTTGCATACTTGGCAGTGAGAGTCAAATATCTGGATGAACTCTTGAACAAACTAGCGATCTCTTGGATCGACAACGAGGCGGCTAGGGTAGCATGTATAAAAGGTAATTCCCAATCTCACAGCCTTCAGTCCCTGACCAGAGTTTTGCAGCAGGTAGAGTTGGAAAGTCCTAGTTTGGTGTGGTATGAACGCGTGGCTTCCTTCTCCAACCCTTCCGATATGCCATCTCGTGGCAAGACCGCCATGGCAGCTAAATTGTTCGGTGCGAAACCTCTTGACCCATGGGTCTGTCCGCAGAAGATTGTCGATGC